GTTCACCATGTAAGAACTTGTTCGTTATGCTTCAGAAGATTGGAGACTGACGAGAATTAGGCTTGAGATGGATTAATGATTGTACATTGAGCATTGACCCCCCTATACTGAATTTTATTGTTGTTAACAACCATTTGATCAATAAATATGAGAGATGCCCTCTCAAAATAAAAAATAAAAATAAATAAAAAATAAAATAAATAAAATAAATAAATAAATAAAAATACAAAAACCTACTTAAATTCAATCATACCAAAGAATAATTAGCTTGACAGCCCTCAATGCGAAAGTATATTGCATGCTTTAGGTGCTTCTTTTAGAGAGCTGAGCGCAGGACAATTAAAGTAGGGGGGGCTTCTGCCTAGGGGTGAAGAGGGAGCAGCAAGCCACAGATCAAACTCTGTTGACTTCATAACTTGTCTAGGTGGCCCATTCATATCCACCGGGGACAATGCATTTAGTATGCAGAGCTACAACAAGTTCATACATATATCCATGATTATTTTAGGAGAAAAATGGTCCTTGAACTTATGACACATGCCGACACTGCTTTGTGTGCTTCACAGACCCTGGGTTTTTAATATGACTGCATCACAACAATGGTCTTGATCCCCAGATCATTCTCCAGGTGTCTGTAGCTGAGCTGTCAAGTTGTGGTGACATACACAGGAACTGCGCCACAGCACTTCCTTTCAGAATTACAGACATCTGCACTCCAGTCAGTCTGGTTATGGTGGTTCTGCAAGGCCCCACAAGAACTGCTGAGAACAACCAGACAGGGCTGTCTTTCACATTTGTTTCACATATGGGCTGCAGGCCCATACGCTGTGACACAGGGCTACACATATAGTCCAATAATGTCAAAAGAAACTCAAATAAAATAATTCCATTTATAGCATCATCAAAATAAGAAAATATTTAGGAATACTTAGAGAAGTCATTCAAGACCTGTACAGTAAAAACTACAAAGCATTACTGAGAAAAAGTAAAGAAGAGCTAAACAAATTGGAAGATACATCATGTTCATGGATTTTCATGGACTGGAAGACTCCATACTGGTAGACAGTGTTCTCTCTAAACTGATCAATAGATTCAATGCAATCCCTGTAAAAATTTCAAAAGATTTTTCTGTACAAAACGATAATCTGATCCTTAAATTCATATGAAAAAGCAAAAAAAAAAGCTTGAAAAAGAAAAACAATGTTAGAGGACTTAACACTGCCTGATTTCAAAAACAAAAACAAAAACTTACTATAAAAGCTGCAGAAATCAAACCAGTGTGGTATTGGCATAAGGATGGACATATGGATCAGTGAAATATTGACATTTATGGCAATCAATTTTAATAAAGGTACCAAGGCAATTCAATAGAAAAAGTATAGTCTTTTCAACAAATGATGCTAATATTCATAGGTGAAAAATATTATGATGACTTGTGGACCTAAATGTAAAATTTCTATAAGAAAATCTCTATGACCAGGGGTTAAGCTAATATTTCTTAGATATATAACAAAATAATGATCCATTAGAAAAAAATTCAACTTCATCAAAATTTAACTTTTACTTTTGAAAAGATACCATTAAGTGAAAAGACAAGCCACAAACTAAAAAAGTTTCTAAATCATATCTAAAAAATGACTTGTATGCACAATATAAAAAGAACTCTTATAACTCAAAAATAAAATAATCCAATTAAAAATAGGCAAAAGACTTAAATATTTAACCAAAGGAAATAAACAAGTAATAAACACATGGAAAAAACTCAACATAATTAGTCATGAGGAAAATGCAAATTAAAACCACAGTGAGATATCACTACACACCCACTAAAATGGCTATAATCCACAAGGCCAACAATGCCAAGTGTTCACAAGAATATGGAAACAATAGGACCTTCAAACATTGCTGGGTGGAAGGAAGGATGGTACACTCACTCTGGTAAACAGTTGGGAAGCTTCTCAGAAAGTTAACCATATTTCATCCTATGACTCAGCACTTTTACAGCTAGGTATCTCTCCAAGAAAAATTAGAATATAGGTCCAAACAAAGATTTGTATATGAATGTTCATAGTGGCCTTATTCCTAATAGTCAAAAATTGGAAATAATCTAAATGTCCATCAGCTGATGAATGGGTAAAGAAATGTGGTATATCCATCCAATAGAATAGTATCCAGCAATAAAAAGGAACAAACAACTGATGTATGCTAACCTGAAGGAAATTCCAAACATTACAATAGACACTAAAAACCACATATTGCATGATTCCATTTCTAAAAAATACTCAAAAATGGCAAATCTATACAGACAGAAAGCAGATGTGTAATTGCTTACGGCTGGGCAAGAAAGCAAGGGCTACAGCAGACATGTGATGGAAACGCTCTAAACACTGGACACCAGCACTCACTCATGAAAAAAATTCTCAGCAGATCAGGAATAGAGGGGAAATTCCTCAACTTGATAAAAAGCACCTACAAAACTACAGCTGAATCCATGCTTATGTTTTTTGGAGAAGTTTTAGGTTCGCAGTAAAATTGAGTGGAAAATACAGAGCTTTTCCAGTACTCCCTGTGCCCACTCATGCATTGCCTCCCCCATTATAAACATAAGCAATGGTAAATGCTGTAGGATACAAAATATAACTCAGCAGTGCTGCTTTTACAAAAGAATAATCAAGACCAGGTATATTCACCTATTTAAAGTGAATACTCATACATAACTGAGTATCAAGCATAAAACTTTGAAGATTCCTTCAAAATCATTCTGTTATTCATTTCTGATTTTAACAACTGAATTTATACCATCAGTTTGCTTTTCCTTTAAAAGTTTCCTGAGATAATAAACAATGTTTGCAACAACTTTCCTTCTGTTATCACAAATTAAACTAATAAAAAGATAGATAAAAACTGGCAGTTGGTATGTGAGTGAGTTTACTGTGAACAGTGCCATCAGAAAATACCAGGGAGGGTGAAACCAAAGGTAAGCAGCTGCCACAGCTGCTCCTGAGGGCCCCCAGGTGGGCCCTGCTGTCATGTGGGGAAAGTTCACACGCCTGGGGTGCCAGGTCAGGCACGAGAAGCTCGGCCAGCAGACCCTCCATGGGGAGCCTCAGCTAACATACAGGAACACACAGTCCTTCAAAGAGTTGCTCACCTATCTATCCTTCCACAGTTTCACCTACACAGTGAAAGCCAGACTCTTCTCTCCTGTTCAAAGGCTGCTACTGCCAGGACTCCCCTGGCCAGTCCCTGAGATCACATCAAGCCCAATCAGCCCCCTCCACCGACCCACTTCAATCATCACTGAAGCAACATCTTGCATGAGGTCAAGGACCAAGCTGTCTGTGCTCCAGTAGCCATTCCCTAGAAGGTACAGGACCTGCTGTTTACAAAGCAGACATCTTTATGATTTCTGGGTCCATACTTTCTTTTGTGGTCTTTTCCTCTTTACTAGATTCAGTAACTTCTGCCTTTTCCTAACGACTTTTACCCACACTGAAGTACTTACTAGCAATACTATAATTTAGGATCTAGACCCTGGAATCTCTCCTGGTTCCTCAACTGTGTAATAAGCTCCCAGAGTGTAGCCTCATGATCTGTGCAGACTTAGAGAGAGACCACAGGGGAGGCAGCTGCCCATCCTCCACAGCAGGAAGAAACACGGCCCTGTTGCCACAAACTTGCAGGGACTCCCATGTGCACTAAATCAGTGAGACTATTAAACAGGAAACTTAACTGGAACTAGCAAACAGTTTAATCTAGTCCCACATTTTAATTAAGGTCAAAGTGTCAGGGCAAGAGCACGCTGGTGGTCTGACACCACCTTATCATGGCCATGTCATCCTGTACACTGGCACTTGGGTAGGCTGGCTCCTGTCAAGCATTCCATTTAAGACGCCAGCATAACATACATTTTTCCTTTGCTTATCGATAAAAAACAGGAAATCTAAGAGTCTCCCAAATTTAAGCATCAACCTTGAAAAGGATGTCTAGCATTTTAAAGAAGTACTGAACCAATGGGTTGCACTGTTAACATTTATCAAATTCCTCCTTGCCTGCTGGTGAACTTCCCTCAGACCATGAAACTTTTGGACCCAGACAAATGAACCACACTGCCTTATTGGTTTATGATGATGTCAACAGAATATGGCAAAGCTAAAATTTCAACTTTCAATATGTGATACCCGACCTAACTCAGTTTAGAGACTAAAACTCTTTCCCTAACCTTTTCTACTTGTTCAGAAGTAAAGTCTACACAGAATCCACCAGTTTTGGAAAACTTCCATGGCAGCCACAGATAGGCAGTATGAAACAAAGCTTAGCACAGAGGCAGGGGACCTTGGACCAGGCACCTACCATTCCTGTAGTAATCAGTGCCTGCTGCTCTGGCTGCGCTGGCCACGCTGGGAGAAATGAGTGAAGTGTGGAAAGCTGCTGGCCCCTGCCAGCACACATAAACAATACGTGCTAGTGCTATTACAATTACTACCTTAGTGTTCAAAAGTAAAAATATATTCAAGCTCCAAACTTTACCAGAAGTGGCAGAGTAGTTCTAGTTTTACAGAGGACAAGAGGAAATAATTTATTCCATACAAAATCTAAAAATTAATGTGTAGTTTTTAAGAAATATTATTAGTCCCCCCAAATGTTAAAATAAAATATAACTGGTTATTTCTAAAATGTCAGTAAATGATCCCTTATTCACAAATGTTTGCAAAATTTCTATTTAGTATATCTATGATTATAAATCATATGTGCATTTTTTCAAAATTATACTATGAATTTTGATGTTTTAGAACAACCTCTTAAACAAAGAAATTAACAGTGACTAATTAAAGGCACTAATAGTCTCCACATTAAATGACTATAAAATCCAATCCCTCTAGAATACAGACATTTAAAAACAATCTCTTGAGGCCTAAGGGTTAGAGAGGAGCCAGCCAGTGCCACGGTGTGCACGCAGCCACAATGGGGGCTCGAGGCACGGGTAAGGGGCACCGTACCTCCTTTTCTCGAATGCTGTCAGCCTGCACAGTCTCCAGGCGAGCTTTGAAGTGTTCACAGTCCATTTTCAGTTGCTCTGATTCTTGCTCTTTCCTTTCCAGGTCTGGAAGGGACATATAAATACTTGACATTTCAAATCACTAAGCTCTCCTACAGCATCCATTTTCCTAATCTTCTTTTAAGAAAACTTATACTGATTTCTTAGGATTATTGCATAACCAGTCCTTGAATAACTAATATTCTAAAAGTCCTGCTTTTTATGTTTTTATCAGTTTTTAGCTCTTACCAGAAAACACTTTTTTTGTTGTTTTATGCTCCCAAGGCATCATTTTACTGCCAGACTGGTACTCAAGGCTTTAAGAAAGTGTGCTATTTAAAGGACCAAAGGCAGGGCTGAGAAGCCCAACTGTCTCATGGCACAGACTTGTATCTGCTCCATAAAAGGCAGAAGGCAGCTCCGTGAGCAGACGGTGCCAGCCAGGGCCGATTCACAAAGCGAGTCTCACCAGCTGGCAGATGGGCTCGAGGGGCGCAGCCGCAGCACAGTCAATGGGCAAGAGAAGCAACAGTGATAAAAGACAAGAAAAGGCCGGAGTGAGAGGGGGGAACTTGGAATACTTCCTCACCACCATATTCATTTAGGATGATGATTCAAATGGCCAACAAAAACTCCAAAGAACATCCATGTCAATATAACTCAAATTGAAAGCATTATCAAATCTAAATAAAATACATTATGCTGCAGAAATATGGACATTCAAAAAGCAAAGGAATTAATTTATAATTTTGAGTGCCTTGTTTTCACAAGGGCTAAGACATCATCTGTTTTTCTGTCAGCCTATTCCAAGATGTGAGGGGACGTGCTCAGAGCCAGCGGTGTAGCCCTGGTTAAAGCAGCGATGCTGCAGACAGCAACCCTCAAATGCGAGTGTCCACCGGAACCCTGAGGACTTGTCCGAACCCAGGCTGCTGGGCCCCACCCTCAGCGCATCCAATTCAGAAGGCGTGCAGCAGGCCTGAAAATCCACCCTTCCAGCACGTTCCCAGGGGAGTTCCCAATGAAGGTCTGGAAACAAATGTTGAGAACAAATGCCTCAGGACAACAGCCTGATCTCCCTCATCACTAAAAAAACGCACCCACAACCAGCACCAGCAAATGAGGGAGCCCAGCCTCAGGTTGTGCAAGCGTGGAAAGTGGAGGGTGGCAGCAGGCGGCCAGGGGTGAGAGCACCTCAGAGGGCAGCCGCCTGAGGAGGTTGCATTCCTCCACCCAGAGGAGAAAAAGCTTCACACACTTCCTCCAGCCCACAGCAGAGAGGGGTGCGGCTTTGTAACCCAGGGTCTGGGGAGGCACCACGGGAAGCCCAAATGAGAAACCCGGCATCCCAAAAACTCTGGAGAAATGAAGGAAGCCTACCTTTTCTAGAGACCCTTTGCCCTGGAAGGAAGAGTAGAACCTAGAACTAAATATTCAGCTAAAGATTTTGCAACTGGCTGGCAAAGCTTCTCAGAAAATGCTTCTTGGAAACTAGGGTAAGTAACTGGGGACTCTCTCTCCCCTTGAAGCAAGTTTTCTTCTCTTCATGATGTTCACTGAAGTCTTCATTTTGTCCTAAAAATCCTGGCCACCCAGGAAATCAATCATCAATCATTATGCTTGGAAAACTACACAGCTGCCTTTTGTAACAATGTTAAATGAAAACACAGTATTTATATATATGATTATGAATAAAATATGAATTGCATGTGGTCACAGACAAAAAAATGAAAAAAGGAACTAAGATAAAATTGGTGGTGGTGTAAAATTTTTCCTTTGCAGTTTATATTCTATTATCAAACTGTGTATTACTCAAACACGGTGGAGAAAGGAAATTACCTCTCTACAAGACTTACATGTAAAAATACGCAGGAATTAATTTTGATCGCCTAAAAGGTTATCATCCCTAAGGGCTAAAACTTCCCACACTGGCTCAGACTACCCGACAGAATTTTACACACGCACATGCGCACGCACACACGCACACACAAACACCCCAACCACCGCCCAAGGTAGCAGGTGCTTTCCCGCTGCACAGGCTGCCACCTTGTGGTCAGATGGGAGCGCTGCTGCAGCTGCCTAACAAATCTCCCACCTTGCCCAAGGCATGTCTGGCCCCTGACCCACCACAAAGGCAGGGATTTTCAAGGTTTCTTTTCTAATACATCCCAAAAACCCAGAACAGCACATGGCAGGGTGTAGACATTTTATAATATTTGTCACATAAATGAACTTCACATCTTTATACACTGCTGGTAATCCTAACAGAGAAAAACACAAAGCTAATGTCTCTTTGATTCTCTGTCCCATTCTTTTACAGTGAGAATGCATTGCTTTTCAAATGCTATTTTTAAAACCCAGGGACAGAAATAATACGGACAGTGAATGATATATTACACAGTCAAGACATTATCCTACCCAGCCTCAGTATTAGACAACAGGAGGGGGTTGCCCCCTCCAGCCTCCACTGTATTTGAACTGCTAATCTTCAGCATTCAAAATGAAGAACTCTCCACTTGAGTGTTAAAAAAACTGTTCAATGTCAGTGAAAGGGTGCGCTAGACATACTTCCTACAGAAGCAATCTAAATCAGGCTATTCCAACATCAATTTGTTTTCTGAAATTTACAATTCTTTTTTGATACTTTTAATAAGCCGAGAATGACTCTCTCAATACTCCACTTATTCACAAGAATGGCACAGAGAACTACACATAGGCAGGAAACAAACTTAAATGAAAAGCAGGGTTTCTAAAACAGCAATCAAAGTAATTTAAACTATGCAAAAGGAATCATTATCTCTTATTCTTTATTACTTGGCATGTTTGTAACTTAAAACAAATTATCAATTGTTTCATGTTAATATGAAAATATTTGTCTCTGATCAAAATAGCTAAGGAAAGAGCCTCAAATGCAAAATAAAGGTCTCTTAATAGCCATTAATTTTTTCCTTCTTATCACTTTCTAACAGGTTTAGAAAAGAATTTAGAACTGGCTACTAATGGGTTCTCTTTTTACTTTGAGTTGAGATTTGGAGGGTATTAGTTTCCTAAATCTGCCATAACAAAGTAGCATGAACTGGAAGATGACAACAGAAATGTTTTTTTCCTGCAAGTCTGAAATCAAGACGTCAGCAGGGCCACCTGCAGGAGGATCCTTCCCTGCCTCTCCTACTTGTGGTGGACTGCCCCCCAGACACTCCCTGGTGTGTGGCAGCATAACTCCAATTTGTTTCTGACTTCACTTGGCCTTCTCCCCATCTCCTCACATTATCTCCCCTGTGTATATGTGTCTCTGTGTACAAATTTTCCCTTTTACAAGGACACCAGTCATACTGGATTAGGGCCCACCCAAAGACCTCATTTCAATCAGCCTGTGAGTGAAAAAAATGAGAATATTCCAGGGTTCACTTTTTTAAAACCTTAGTTAAATGGCTTAAATGCATTTGAAATGCATTTTAAAACCTTAGTTAAATGGCTTAAATGCATTTGAAACTCTAAGCCAGCCAAATAACACTTTAATTAGCTGTCAAATATTTGAGAATAGAAAAGTGGGAGCCAGAATATGGAAACAGTATTTTTTTCCTGCACTGCCAAAGATCTTCCAAAACTACTCTTTTGAAACAACTGACAGGCCCCTGGAGTATCTTTTACAAGAGGAAGGGAACATGTGTCTCCAGGAATGTGTCCTATGCCGGGAATCCCAGCCCCGCTGGGCACTGCCCTGCACCACTGCCTCATCACACCTGGGCGCTGGAGTTCCCCAGTCGCCCTGCCAGTTGTCACAGGAGAGGCACAGACCCAATCTCTTCACAGCCCCACCACCACCCAGTAGTCCTGACAGATACCTACTGCTTTATGGACTAAATTCACTGACTTTAAACACTATCACAAGAAAAACACATCATTTTGCTGAACTCATATGAACTGTTAAAGTATTTCCCACACCAGAGGATGGGATGACTCTGCTTTTCACGTGTCAGCACACCAACACAGCGTGAGAGATCCCACTCCTCACGCTGATCTCCCTGGGGCCAGGTGTGGCACACTCACGCAGGCAGGGCCTGGCCCTCTCTCTTCGGCCTCCTCCCACCTGTGGGCCCTGCTCTGTAGCACTTCCTTCCCAGCCCCCTGTACTCTGCACAGGCCCCAAATGCCCTTCCCATCTGCTCTCCACCCTGCTCTATGCCCCAAGAGGCTGAAGCCAGCACCCACAGCACCAAATTCCCTTGCTTATGGCTTCCTGTTGGTTTGGACAATGGTGGGTCCCAAGCAAAATGAGGACAGGAGGAGACAGGTGGGATCATTTACTTCCCCACTGCATCACTCCTGCCAGGCTTCAAGACAGAGGCAACTTCATCCTTCCCGTTGAGGCCGTGGTCCTGCCCAGCACCCGTGTGAGTGAAGCCGCTCCCGGCCAGGCCACAGCACCCTGCTCTAGTGCTTGGGCCTTCGCAGCCCTTCTCTGGCTCCCGAGCCCTGCCGCACCCTTGTCACCTCTTCCCTGGCTCTCCGTTTACCCCTGTTTTCTGTGAGGATGTGGGCATGATACAGTCAGATATCACCTCACCTGAGCCACAGTGAACTGTGGTCACGTCATAGAATCTCTTCCTGACACTTACTCTTTTGTCCCACTCCCCATGCTGATCTCCCTGGCCCACATTTCTATAAGCCAGAAACAAGAATTCTCTCTGAGCTGAAATAGTGCCCCGCCCTTTTCATTAAAATCAAACTCCTGGGAAATTCATCTCAAACGCCCACACTTCAGATCTCACGGGGTGCAGTGGTCCTCAAACCCCACTGCCATGCACTCAAGTGCACCTCAGGATGCTTCTGGCTTGGTAAACATTTAAGTAATATTTCCACTTTACAATATGCTTTTTATTTGGAAATAAGGAAAACTTTAAAAACATTGCATGAATAAAATAATACAAAGAATCCCCATGTGTCCTTTACTCAGACTTACTTACTGCTGACATTTCCCCGAATGGCTCACAATGTGGACCATAAACACAGCGGGCATCCTTGGAGCCGCTGAGGGAAGGGCACATACATCACAGCCTTTCCCT